CAATGAAAATTCAAGGGTAGTGTTTTGGCAATGACAGCTCAGATTCTGTCTGGAAACTCCCCTAACCAACAAAACACTCTGAGCTAGAAATACAGTTCAGTGGTAGAACACTTGTCTAGAATATACAAGGACCTTAGTTTAACACCCCCCCCAACAAGACACACAAACCTGAATGCACACACCCTCTCATAATCCCAGCACTCTGGAGGCTGAGGCAAACACTAGGGCCAGCCTGGGTTACTAAGGAAAAAAAAAAAGCTCTTTACAAGTGAAACTATTGATTTGGGCTTAGACCAATTGTTTGGGTCACACTTGCCAATGCCAAGGAACATTACCAAAAAAAGGGAATGATAAAAAGTGCATCGCATTCAATTTGGCCTAATTTCTTCATAATAGTTTCCTATTAGATTTTCCGATTAATACTGATGGCTCTTACCTAGGCTGTGATAATTAGGTTTTGATCTATTGTGACATTAATGATCACAATCAGTTGACTTTGAAATTGTCTTTAATTAATGGCTCTTTCCTTGTCAGCTTTTGCCTCCAGTGCAGGATCTGCCCTTCCTCCACCACTGTGCTTTAACTCCTTCTCTCACTGACCTCAAGACAAACAGCATTGGTGGATTACTCTTCCCATAAAAAAAGACTTTAAAACATATTTCTGACAGGAACAATAGATGTTAGGTGAAATGAGGGCCGAGGCAAAAGGCAAGAGAATGAACTGTCAATGAACAGGAGCGATACCATCTTAGGCCAAAGTCAAGCCTGATGCTCAAGTGGTGATACAAAAATAAGACGAGGTAGATTAAATTAAAGAAAATTCAACACAAGCAAAGAAGAAACAAGAAGCTTCACATTTTAACTTTCTAGAACAGTTGAGCTGAATTCCTGGGAATTCTGACTTCCAAGGTCAGTCAATTACCCAGGTAGAGAGCTAAGACCTTTTTCTCTGAGTTAGCTTGAACCTGCATTGGGAGGGGCTTTGCTGTGCACCTCTCTGGACAGATAAAAGTCTGAGGAGCCAGGACAGGTATTTCTGGGGAAGGTCTTTACATAAGTGACACAGGTATGGCTTAGAATTGACTCTCTGGCAGTTCCCTAAGCTGTTTTAACAAACCCTGGCATGAGATGGTATGCTTTGGCTTTAAAACCAGCCTTGTTGATTTCTCCAAAAGGGATGAGAAATTGAAGAGTGCTAAACAACATGCTAAAATAAATGCCCATGAAATAGAGAGAAGGACCCATAACAGCACAGCATATCACAGCACACACTGGCATATGCAATGCACACAATACTTTCCACAAGCAAAGCTGATCACAGTCATGTTTTGGCAGAGCCCAAACAAGCTGCATCCTCTTGGTAATGACAGCATTTCTACTTAACTTTTATTTTCTGCAATGCTCCCTATGGCCAATTAACTCAGTTCTTGGAGACCATAGGTATTTATGAATTGATGGTACCTTCCTACTCCAGGTTTTTTTTTTTTTTCCTGTGGGAACCCAGGGCTTCCTGGATGCCGCTTCCTGGATGCCTCACAAAGCCTCTACACTGAACTACCCACTTTTCCTTGCATACATGTGACTGCTTGTTTCTGTCCCAAAGCATAACTTTATATGCACATGTAGTATTTATTATACAAAACTGTAATGATCAATTCATTTCATATCATTACCAAAGTTCTCTGAGGGGAAAGGGTGCTTGAACTTTGTATCCTGGGCCAAAAATGTTTTTGAATAAAACCAATATTAATGTACGCTAATGTTGTAGGAATGTGAACAGCACAATATAAAGTTGGTAGGTTACCCAGTTCACCTCTGCTTTTGTGTAAAGCTGGCAAAATACTCTTGGTAACATGCCTATTAGAGAGTGAAGCCAGCAAGAAACAGCCAGGACTACACAGAAAAAAGAAAAAAGAAAAAGAAATTCAGCATTAGAAAGATGTTTTGAGCTAGGCGGTGGTGGTGGTGGTACATGCACTAAGGAGGCAGTTGGAGGCCAGCCTGGTCTACAGAGCAAGTTCCAGGACAGCCAGGGCTATACAGAGAAACCATGTCTTAAAAAAAAAAAAAAAAAAAAGCCAAAAACAAACAAAAAAAACCCAAACCAACCTACCAAACAAACAAAAACCAAAACCAAACACAGTAACGATGGTGTTGGAGCATGTCTAAGCTAGCCACAGGTTCAATTTCTAGTTCTGAAAGGATTTAACACAGAAAAATGTACTTAGTGTGTAGGAGTGTTTCACCTTTGGCTGTTAACTCTTTATAGGGAAGAAATCTATAAGGAAAATCTTCTGTCCAAGGCCGCCATTCTCCAGCAGAAACAAGCTACTTGGCACCAACACATGCTAGAGGCACAGGCAGGTGTCTGGCTTCTTCACACTGAGGGCTTTACATTAAGGGCTGAAGATAATACTGGAATCAGTTCTCTATTTATAGATATAACCAGCAAAAGTACTAAGAAGAAACCAAGGATATTTTGGTAATACTTAGCAGAAAACCATGAACTGAGGACAGAAAAGATGGAGTAAAGAGTGTTAAAACAGTGATAAACAGTACGTAGTCCTGTTAAACACCATCTGTTGTCTCAGTGACTATGCATGGAAGGCTTCTCAGGGCCACACCTTCCCTTCACTTTTTAGTATTACAAAGGGATATCCTCAATCCTTTTTACTTTTTATTTTCAGACAGGGTCTCACTAAGTTTCCCAGCAGGTATTGAACATACACAATACTCCTGGATCAGTCTGGGGTTATATTCTGAAGCCAAAAGGACTGATTTCTTAGGAGCAGTCTTAGCATCAAATATCAATGTTACACATTTGCCCACAGGCTAAGATTTTGCTTTAAAAATCTGGTCACCCTAATTTACAAGCCTACTACTACTGACTACTCAGGCAGACTGTCCTTTCCTCCAGTTGTCAATCAAGAGACTCAGATCACCTCAGGAGCTCTGGCTTACTTCTGTCCCATTTTCATCTAGCTGAATTACTAGACAATCTGCTTTCTAACCACCCTTCCTTTGGTCAAGTACAGAAAACAGTCACTTATCCAGCACTTGATCTAGTCTCCAACTCCTTCAGAGAACAATGGAACATGGAGAGAGAAACACTCACCCATGTGAGGTATGGGTTAGGTGCTCTTCCCCGACTACTACCATTCCCAGGATCTTCCTGGCCGACTTAAAGCAAAGCTTCATTGTCTGTCTGCCATGTCACAACAGCTGTCTTGTCAACTGTGCAGTGTAATTGTTGACATAATTTATACAAGCACACAGAATTCAATCAGCAGTTGAGCAGGAAAGCAATGCTAACAAATGCTATGAATGGGCCTATGATTTGCATATTATTTGGCTCATCTATGGACTGGAGCACTCCATACACTTCTCTCTCATTACTATGAATAACCCAGAAATGGCTGGATGCTCCACCCAGTCAACTATGTTTTAAGAATCAAAAGCAACAACAGAAACAGCCTCAGTAGCTGATGACATCTAGCATTAAGACTACCTCAGCATTTATCCTTTTTTATTCAGCTTTAGAGCTGGGACAAGAGTACTTAGCTCCAAACCCTGTTATTTCCTTATGGTTAGTCCTGATTCTCCAGCCTCCTCAACCACAAAAAGAAAATAATGGGGAGAGAGTGAACATTTCTCAAAGGACAAAAAAAAGAGTAGGCTCAGAAAAAATTTAATATAATAGCAAAGCAAGAGTACCTAAAAGTAAAGTTTGTTGAGAGAGAGGATTGTGTCAAAAGGCTAATGTCAACACTTGTCACTTTCTGAGATGATAGCCTTCCATGAAAATACAGTTTTAAAAGTAAGATACAGGGCATTGGTGGCACACGCCTTTAATCCTAGCACTCGGGAGGCAGAGGCAGGCGGATCTCTGTGAGTTCAAGGCCAGCCTGGTCTCCAGAGCAAGTGCCAGAATAGACTTCAAATACAAAGAAACCTTGTCTCGAAAAAACAAAAAAAAAAAAAAACAACTAAAAGTCTGAGGGTGGAGAAGTCGAGGAACATTTAATACTATGGAGACTTGGTGGCAAATCTAGGAGTCATGAGGCAGTAAAGTTATCATTAGTACTACTGAGAGTATTTAAAAACTGATCTGTGGCTAGTGGCTTCTCTAAGAATTCCCAACTGAAAACAATGGTCCAAAAGGGAATGAGTCCACCGAGCACTGAATCTGCTGACGCCTCTTTGGTAACAGGAATGCTTTGGGAGGGCATAAAAGTTGGGAGGGTTAGAGGGTGCCCAGCACCTTGGCACAAGCAAGCACCAGGCAATCAATCACTCACATCTAGATAGTCTAAATATGAGGGAAGGAAGGAAAGAATACATACATACCATGTGACACCAAAAACAATTATGCATGGCCCTATCCTATTATCCTCCTGCACTACAGCTTGCAGACTCCAAAGTTAATCTCGTCATTTTATGACCAGTTGATGCCACCTTACAGAAGCAGAATCAGGGACAAAGCCAAAAAAAGCCTGAGGGCTCAACAGGGTGCCTTGACAGATTTAAATGTCAAGTTTCAAGCCCTCTAAAGGACAGAACTGTTATAGGAGGGTAAATGAGGATAGACAGGGTAGCCCAGAAGACCACACTACGAACCCTATGTTCTCCTGGCAGAGCTAACTAAATGAGACTGGAAAAAGATACAAGTAGGCTGCTGCTATTGGCTTTCTAAAAGATGGACAACAACCCTTCTATGCCAGTATGTCAAAATAAAGGCCAGCTGGTAATCAACATATTCTAATATCAAGAAGCTGAAGTCATTATCATTGTAATAAAATCCCCCGGTGTAAAAAGCAACTGGCCCCAAAAGATCATAATTCTAAGGTGATTAAAAAGTTACAGGGGAGCAGAGGAAAAAGATCAGAGCAAAACAAAAAAACTGGGAATTACACACAGCATGTAAATGCCTGATTTTCACAGAGTTACACTTATGAATCCAACCATCAGTTATTTTACAAGAGAATCAATACCGACATCTCTCCCATGGAGCACAGTGATAAGCACATGTTTTTATGGATGTGTAGGAATGAAAGGGATGGGAGAAGGGAGGAGGCAGGAAGGTGGACGTATTATATACAAAGAGAAATGACAGAGACCACCCCCTCCTTTTAGCTCTTCGTGCTTTCTTTCTCTTTGTTTTCCGCATCTTCTGGATATGCATGCCACGTCAGTCTCTCTTCATAAAATGCTATCACAATTTGTGGACATTTCACATTAGCTTCTTTTGCCAGAACCAGGTCGGCTTCATCTGTGTCTTTCCTGGAAATAAAGAACATAAGACTTTAGAAGAAGTGAGACAGAGATCTGTATGAATGTCATCATTTGGATTTAGTTAGTCTGATCTCCTTCTTACACTTAGGGATCTATCTTTACAGGGCTGGAGGTATAACTCAGTGGTGGAGCCTCTGAATTTGACCTTTAGCATAAAAAAAACAAGAAAGAAAAAGCTAAAGAGATGGCTGATCTTACAGAGGACCCAGGTTCAGTGCCTAGCATTGACATGGTGGCTTACAACGGTCTCTTCTAGCTCTAGAGTATCTGACACCCTAGGAGCTAGAGTTGGCTCAGCAGTTAAGATTGCATACTACTGTTTACTCAAAAGGCAGAGGCAGACTGATCTGAATTCAAAGCCAGCCAGGTCTACTGCAAAGGACCCAGGCTCAGTTCCCAATTCCTAGTACCTACATGGCAGCTTACAACTGCCTATAATGTACCAGGAGATCCAATGCCCTTTTCTGGCTTCTGCAGGCACTGTACACACATGGTGAACATACATATATTCAGGCAAAACATACATACACATAAAATGAAACAAAAAAAAATAAATAAATCTTAAAAGTAAAAGGGAAAGAGGGGAAAAAGGAAAAAAGCCAGTCAGGTATTTTGAGTACATGCCTGTAACCCTGTAACTCCAGCTCAGGGGAGGTAGAGACAAGAGAATGAGTTCAATATCCTGGACTATAAACATTAAGGTCAAGGCCAGCTTGAGCTAATTTATACCTGTCAGAAAAGGATGGAGGAAGGATGAGGAAGTACTCCACTTCCTTCTAGAAGTCACTATCTCTGATACAGTTATTTATGCTTTATTCAGCTTAATCCTAGTGCCTTTTGTTGAAATTAATTTCTCTTTTAGGCATCTCTCTGTGATCATGGCCCTCAGTGATGGGAAAAAGCTTCACTCAGTCCTTATCCCATGGTCACTGGCTAACAATGCAAAGAAGTTTGGGGAATGACTACAAATTTATTTTTTCTGACATGCAGGCTACGATGATACAATAATACCAAAACTTGAGAATGTTACAAACCTAATCTGAGCCATAATCTCCACTTAATATTGACACGGGTGTTGGTTAAGAATTAAATTTAGGAATTCTCAGTTTTACACCCTTTCTTCATTGCAAAGGAACACAACTGCAAAGTGAGACCCAACTTCTTTCTCTCACCATTTCATTAAGAACATTAAGTCACCACAGGAATCTGTTGCCCCAATGATCTTTTCTGGTTCCAGTCCTCTCTCAAAGCCTCGAGCGATATCATTGCTCTGCTATAAATAGAACAGGAGAAATTAGAGCTTGTAGAAAGAATAAAAACAAAACAAAAAACAAACAATGGTTTCTCAGAACAAGAAATCATAGCTTTTAACATCACTTGAAATCATTTATCACCAAATCAGAAAAATCCTTAGAACTCAAGAAACATAATACTAGGTCAACCAGCAACAGCAATGTCAAGACATATTTTTGCAAGAAGATGTAGCTGTCTTTCCTAGTATTCCTTGCAAATGATTAAGGAGGGACCCTAGAAGTCTTTAGCATCCCGTGGGTCTCTAGAGAATCATCTGGTTATTCCTAAAACCCTATCCCTTAGGATATCTTCAGTAACTGTAAGCTGACCCCTCTACTCTTGCTCCCGACACCGTACAAGCAAGACCCTTCTCTTAACTTCAGATATGCTTTTTCAACCATAACCTTTCAGATGTGCCCAAGTTAATATTTCACACAGTCATCTACATTGTAAAAAACAGAGGCAAGAATGGGATATAAGACCAATACTCTAAAAAGGGCAAATTTCAAAGATCACAAACACTAGTTTGCATATACTGGGGAGAGGAGCCCCTGGTCTGCTCACCCCCTTGCAACACAGGCACACTATTAGCATTAACTGGACCCGGACTGAGACTTTTAAGCAACTGAACTGATAACTCATGAGAAGAGCACTAGATGGGGCTGAAGAGATGGCCTTTTTTTTTTTTTTTTCCTGGCACTCGCCCTGTAGACCAGGCTGGCCTCTAACTCACAGAGATCCGCCTGCCTCTGCCTCCCAAGTGCTGGGATTAAAGGCATGCACCACCACCACCCAGCTGAGAGATGGCTCTTCTAGAGGACCTAAGTTCAATACCCAGCAACCACATGACAGTTCACAACTGTCTTTAACATCAGTTCTAGGGAATCTGGCACTCTTACACAGACAGACATGCATGCAGGCAAACACCATTGCATATAAAGTAAAAACAAATCTTAAAAAAAAAAAGTTCCGAACTTGTTCTTGTATAATCACGTGATCTACACACAGAGGCTGATTTGGGTGTAATGGCACTGGTCAGAACAACAACAAAAAAATCTAACTTTATACTTAAGATTTCCCAAATGAACCAAATCTCAGATGTGTGATCTTCCTAACATTTCTCTGATCATCTTACTTTCCTTTGAGACACAAAAGCAGGCCAGTGAGGTGACTCATTGGGGAAAGGGGCTTGCAGGCAAGTTTGACAACCTGGTTTTAATCTCTGAGACTCACATGATAGATGGAGAGTACCAACTCCCACCAGTTCCTTGACCTACACTAGTGCATGATGCCCAATACAATGAACAAATACATAAATGAATAAATGAAAATTTTAAAATAGAAACACAAAAGCTTGCACAGTCCTGGTGGTCCCCAAAGATAACAGAACCCACAATAGGAAAGAAATTCCAGCCATGGATCAATGGGAAGATACTGGCTTTTTAAGACACAGACTCTTTAGGGCATTTAAGGGGAATAGGTTCCCAGATGCAAACACAGATGCTCACAGCTGGAATGCTGGCACAGGGACTAAGTCATACATCATCGCTGGCGGCTGGAAACAGTCTGCTACAGAAGGAGGAAAATGGAAAAAGATTGTTCAAGCTGCTAAAAGGAGCCGAGGTAAGGAAAACACTAAAATCATAGGCAGTAATCTTAAATCAGGCATAAAACCGACCAAGAAATTTCTTCTAAAGTGATCTAAAGAAATGTAATCTCTCCCATACCTCGAAAACATACCACTACTACCTATCCTGCCAGCTGTGTACCTGACAGCTTCCAGTATTGCTAAGAATGCCAGACAAACATGATGATGTAAAGGGTGGGTGGAGGTTGTTTTCAAGGTCAGCAGCTCCAGAACCTAGACACGAAGGCCTCTGAAGTAGTAACCAAGGACTCCAAGACAACCTTTAACAGAACAAAGACCCTAAATTGGAGAAATTTACTATCTCTCACAAATACATAGTCAAGTCTTTGGTTGTGTTATTTTGCTATTTCAACTTGACAAAAGCCAGACTGGGAGGGAGGGAGGGACTGGCTTAGTTAGTAAAGGTACATGCTCCAAGCCTAAAGTACATAATTCAATCCCCAAGACCAACCTGGTGAAAGAAGACAACTGACTTTTCCAAGTTGTTCTCTACCCTCCACACATGTGCAACAGCATACATGCTCACACGAATGCAAAATAAGATGTATCAAAATATGTAAATAGCCGGGCGTTGGTGGCCCACGCCTTTAATCCCAGCACTCGGGAGGCAGAGGCAGG